CCTTTTTAGTTGGCTACGCAAGATATCGGTTATTGGATCGACCATGGGAGTAGCTCGAGTCATCCTTCGTCTCATTAGGAGTGGAGTGAGACACATCTCGGTCTCTGAATGAAGACTAACACTTAGTTATTTATAGGTTATAATAGTTCTATATAATTAGTGGTCTCCACATATAGTTAATCTGAAAGGGAGTCCCATAAATTTGTGTCGAAATGGTTAAACTTAATTAATGAGAACTAATTACACGAGTCTACTAATCTTGTATATTTTAAATTTGATCTTTTACAAAATAGACTTGACCAAAAAGAGATCAATTTTTTGCTAATGTTTTCACAAAAAGGTCGATTTTGCTAATTATTTTTTAAAAATTTCTTAGTATTTTATTTAGTCATTCTGATCAATATGATACTCTTAAAAACTTCCATGTTATTTCAACTTACCTTTGTGAAAAGATGCAAGTAACAAAAGGCCAACAACCAACTTAAATTTTGACAACAAAATAGAGGACACATATGAGCATAAGTTAGAGAACTCTCTGGTTTTCCCAAACAAAATAAGCACCTAGAAAAGAACGGCTTTTTTCTCCTGGAAACCACATTAAAAATAGGATTATTTTACATAAACTATTTTTTAAATTTATATATAAGTCATCTTTAAAGTGGGTTTTTTTATTCCAATCAACCACCTTCCGATCAAAATGATCACTGAAAACTAAAAAATACCATTAACACTCTCAATTAAGACGCATAACTCACTTTGTTAATATTTAGATTTAGTTCTCAGTGTTAATGGTATTTTTTATTCCAATCAACCACCTTCGCGTCTTAATTGAGAGTGTTAATGGTATTTTTTAGTTTTCAGTGATCATTTTGATCGGAAGGTGGTTGATTGGAATAAAAAAACCCACTTTAAAGATGACTTATATATAAATTTAAAAAATAGTTTATGTAAAATAATCCTATTTTTAATGTGGTTTCCAGGAGAAAAAAGCCGTTCTTTTCTAGGTGCTTATTTTGTTTGGGAAAACCAGAGAGTTCTCTAACTTATGCTCATATGTGTCCTCTATTTTGTTGTCAAAATTTAAGTTGGTTGTTGGCCTTTTGTTACTTGCATCTTTTCACAAAGGTAAGTTGAAATAACATGGAAGTTTTTAAGAGTATCATATTGATCAGAATGACTAAATAAAATACTAAGAAATTTTTAAAAAATAATTAGCAAAATCGACCTTTTTGTGAAAACATTAGCAAAAAATTGATCTCTTTTTGGTCAAGTCTATTTTGTAAAAGATCAAATTTAAAATATACAAGATTAGTAGACTCGTGTAATTAGTTCTCATTAATTAAGTTTAACCATTTCGACACAAATTTATGGGACTCCCTTTCAGATTAACTATATGTGGAGACCACTAATTATATAGAACTATTATAACCTATAAATAACTAAGTGTTAGTCTTCATTCAGAGACCGAGATGTGTCTCACTCCACTCCTAATGAGACGAAGGATGACTCGAGCTACTCCCATGGTCGATGCACCCCCAAAGGAGGGGGGATGTGAGGGGATGCATTTTTTTTGGGAGGGGAGGAAGTGCGGAGGGGGAAGGAGAGGGAGGGGAGGAGAGGGGGAGGAAGGGAGGCGGAGGAGGGGAGGAGACGGGGAATGGGAGTAGAGGAGAGGGGGAGAGGATGCATTGGGAAGGGGAGAGGTGGAGGGAACGTGGAGAGCTTTTTTTGGCAGGGGAAGGAGGAGGGGAAGGAGAGGGGGGAGCGGAGGAGGGGAGGACACGGGGAAGAAAGAGGAGGAGAGGAGGACGACGGATGCGAGGAGGAGGAGAGGAGAGGGAGGGATGCATTTTTTTTGGGGAGTAGGTAGGGGGGAAGGAGAGGGAGGGGCAGGAGTTTGAGGGGAAGGGGAGGGGAGGAGAGGAGGAGAAGGAGGGGGGGGGCGGTGAGTGAGGGATGTTTTTTATTTTTTTTTGGATAATGTTTGGGACATAGATTTAATAATTTAGGAGACTAAGGGGATAAAGCAAATTTTCTTTGCTGGAATTTTGAGAAAAGTGTCTTACCGGTAAATAGAGTGGCATTAATACCTTGTTGTGCGCGGATTTTTTAAATATAACCAAACTAGCGAAGATGGTTGAATAAAATAGGGCCAATTTAATAATTTAGCCATTAAAAGGTCGAAGAAGCAGAAAGTGAGCATAAAAAAGATAGCGCCGGATCCCGCAACGCTAACATTCATTACGATCTCATAGGCGGCTAAATTAGGCAAATGATGATTTAGAAAACAAACAGGGCTTTGAGAAAAATATTAGCAAATCGGCCTTGTTAAAAAAATAGTTACAAATCGTCGTCTGCTTGGGCCACATCATGCTCTCGACCGACCAAATCAGCAGGGTCCAATTTGCAAAATATTAATTTAAAATAGTGGGAGCTGAATAGTTCTTGTTGATCTAAGTTATCGATATGGGGTTTTATGTAGATTATGGTGGGTTAGGGTCCTGCAACTCGCATCGGATGACTAGTTTCGGAGCATGATGTTTTTCCTTCACATGAAGAGTCGGAGAGGACGAAGTTGGATTCGTGCAGTTGTTCTTTCGACGATGCAAGTCAATCGTTTAAACTGTGATTGAGAAAATAACAAGTCAGTGGTGATGAAAAGTTCTAAGTTGCAGAAGGCAGAAGAAGAATACTTAGTTGTAACATGTTCTTTTATAGTAGATCGGGAGGGCAAAATGTAACTTTAGTGGGTCACACTGTAGCTAAATCTACAGGTACCTTAGCAGGTGTTACCCTTAGAAGAGGTGAGTCATCCAGCGCGTTTTATGTGAGAGGCGATAGCAGGTGGCTTAGCTGCTGACTATGATTCGATGAGTCCATATGACTATGGGGCTAGAGCAATGATGACTCTGACAACATTTTTTTAAGGGCGAGGCAATTGGCTGTCGGCGGGGGTTTAGGACACACCGTCTTCTAGTTGCTGGCCGAGGCCGATAATGCTAATTTTTAGTCAGTACGTAAGTTGACTGGGCATGGCAGGTCAAAGTGTAGGTTGGCATGTACAGTGCTCGATTTAGTGAGTAGAGCCGACAAACACGCGCGTCGTCCTCCTCCTCCTCCTCTCCCATTCCCCTCTCCTCCCCTCCTCCGCCTCCCCTTCCCCCTCCAACTCCATCCCTTTCCCATTCCCCTCTCCTCCTCCTCCTCCGTCACTTCCATCCCCACCACGATCCCCTTCTTCCCCGAGCAATCCGTCATCACCTCCTTCTCATCCTGCCCCTCCCTCTCCTTCCCCTCCGACCTCCTCTCATCCCTCTCCTTTTGTCAGAATTTTCAAGGAAAATGATGTGAATTTAATAATTTTGAGAGGTTAAGAGGATGGAATAAATTTTTTATCAGAATTTTAAGAAAAATGATCTTATTGATAAGCAAGTCTTTAATAAAAAAAACTTATTATCACCGGATTTTTAAAATATACCAAACTGTTAATGGAGGGCGGAATAAAAATACTAATTTGGTAATTCGCCCTTTTTCAACTAACGCGCGTCAGGTCAATCCCACAACTGCAATCCAATCCTAAAATCTACCCCATTCAAGCCCCTCAGCTACCTCTCTCTCTCTCTCTCTCTCTCTCTCTTTCTCCATGCCTCCACTTTCTCTCTCCTCCCCTATCTCCACCTTCTCCCCTCTCCTCAAGCTCCCCACCCAATGCCCTCTCCTCAAAACCCCTCCCTTCACCCCCAAATCCTCTCTCGTATCGACCCCGACCTCATCTCCTCCCTCCATCGATCTCCGCTCGAAACCCTCCCCGGCCGAGAACTCGAGGACGATCATGGAGCTCTCGTCGTCGGGGACCCTCTCGGCGCTGACCCACGATGGCTGGCCCATCGGCGTTGGGGCCCAGTTCGTCGTCGACGCTGAGGGGTTTCCTGCGCTCTGTCTCAGTGAGCCCGGGAGGCTTCTCTCTGTCAACGGGCTCTCGAGCTTTCACGTTCAGGTGAAAAAAAAAATTCTCGAGCTTTGTCCTGAATTTGCTTGAATTTGTATCGAATTTGGACGTTGGCGGGTTTTAGATTAGTTGGGTTGTTTTTTGTTGTCATTAAAGTTTGTATATTTTATATTTGTGGGATGTCTCTCTTGATCCTCAAGTTTGGATTTTTTTTAGGAGGTTAGGGTCATCAGTTTTCATATTGCTGATTTCATTCTTGAATTTTTTGTGCACGAATTTGTTCCTTTGTTTGCTTTCATGTTGGAGTAATACTTTTGGAGATATATAGGGCTTTAAGGTTGCGTTTGTCTTGTTTAGGCTGTAGTAGGTCTATGAATTTGCTTGCATTAGTAACAATTTCAGATTTTAGTAGTTTTTAAATTTGTGGATTGTTTTTGTTAGCACCAACTTTGGATGTAGTTTTTATAGATTTATGCTTCTATTCTTTGAGCATCAAGGTTGGAACGTTTTACATTTGTGGGATCTCTCCGGACTTTAGGGGGGTAGTCTTTACCAGTGTTCTTAAAATTTTCTGGTTTTTGATTTTTCGTGGGAGACTATTTCCTTGTTTTGTTTTTTTAGCTTAGTTTTGTTTAACGATATGGTTTATAGATTGGTTGTTATAATTTGCTTGAGATTATGTTGATTTCATGATTTGATTTCTTTCCTTTTTTTAATAATAGTTGGAGCAGAGTGGGTCCCGGACCACACAATGTACTGTTATGGGGAGTTTGAAGAAGCCTGATGATGAGTTGTTCTTGAAGGTAATTTTGGAACAATGTACTCTGTCATTATGCCTTTTTGTTTCCACATAAAAAATTATGTTGGCTGTATTGACAAGAGATGGTTATGGGTTATGTAATGTGAAAGCTAGGTTACCCGGGTACTTCTATCATGAAGCCATATACCCAACATGTACACATACCAAAACTTCATGGAAACTTCTTGGATATACGTATACATTTATTTAGACATGTACTCAAGTATGTAATATATGTCTCAACATTTGTCATACACTTCTTAGTGTATATCCTTCACATCCATTTCTTGAAACTCGTAGACATGGGTCAGGTTTGTTTCACTTTTGGCCCATACCTAAGTTCAAAACTAATGATTTAAAGGATCATTTTGAGTGTCTAGTTCAAAAATGAGCGGTTTCCAATTTATAGTAATCAACATATAAAATAAACTTAAAAATGTGACAGACATTTTAATTCTAATAATTCTAATAACACATGAATTGAAGAGCAATAATGATATCATGTAAATTATTATTTCAATATATGTATGTCACTGTGTTTCTGTACCCTACATTTTACAAAATTTGTGTGTCCCATATGCATACTCGTATCAGAACCAGTACGTGTTTCCATGCAAGTTAGGTGGAAAGGTACAATGTTTTGAACTCTGAACAGTTAAAATGAAGTAATTCAGTTAAGTGACATAACTTTGCCGTTTCTTTCCATTAGTTTTGTCATAATTTAATGATGTATATTTGTTTTCAATGTCTCCATAGCTTGCTGATGATGGAGATTAACTTATCCTATTGCATCTTGCAGAAGCTTTGTGCTAAATGGGAGAAGAAGTTCGGAGAGGAAGTAGATAGGGAACTTGTTTACATGATATCAGTGGATAAAGTGCTTCAGATTGAAGACTTTAAGGAGGTAACTTTTTTAAACCAAGATCAATTCATCAGTTCCTGCTTTATAAAGTCGCTAGTAGCACCAAGCTATCACTTGGTCTTAATTGTTCAATTAGTTATCAATAATGAGATCCTACTTCTTAGAGATGCTTCAGCCAATTTGTTCCTTTTCAAACTATAATGTTTGATAGTTAAGTATTGTTAAGATCAGAACTTAGATTGTGCAGTCTTTGGTGTCATGCTCTGCTTTGTTGATAATTTCTTTGACTCATCCAAAGTTCTGGCTCATGATAACATTGTGGGCGCTTGCCTATGCGCTTAAGGTAGTGGTTACCCAGGATTTTGGTTTTAATCTATGAAAATTGCACATCGTTCATCTTTATAAGCCTTGCAATCTATCAACCATGTAAGGGACAAAATTCTATTTATCTTACTGCTTTCCGTCTTCTACTTGTATCATTAATTGCCCAAAATCTTCTCATATATTTGATAATTGATAATTATCTCATGTGCTCATTGGCAACACCTCTTTAGTTGTTCTTTTTTTATTATTTAAATGAGCTAACTTATTTGTTAGTTGTTGAGATAGTCTATGGTTTCAGGTATTTAATGATACGAGTCGCCGTGCGAGCACCTTTGATCATGGAATTATCAAAGGTGGTTTGAGAAGAGGATGACAGAAACACAAGAATAAGTCAGTATGTGACGAAAAAAAATTCCCTCTCTAGATTATAAGTATGAAAAAATTACAATCCCTCTATCACAATCTCACTAGAATCGAGAACAAATTCTCAATTCTCTCTAAACCCCAATCTCTCTTGATTAGAATCTCTCTTTGATTGCATCTGATTGATTAGAAACCCTAAACAATCCCTTATATAGGTGTAACAACGTGGATGGCAAAGTGGTAAATAACCAAGCCCAAACCCAACAGGAATTCGTGCAAACAGAAACCTAAACGAACCAGGAAACCTTCGATGAGTCGACTCACGACTGAGATGAGTCGACTCGTCCGAAACTGGACAAAACACAAAACCAGCAATGAGTCGACTCATGACTGAGATGAGTTGACTCGTTAGAGACTGGTGACAAACGGCTGAGTTTCGTGAGTCGACTCATGACAGGCATGAGTCGACTCAACCTGATGAGTCGACTCATGTACATGTTTGAGTCGACTCACGGGCTGAAAACTGGGTGCTTCGATTCTTCGATTCGTCGTCTCGTTCCACGCTTCAACTTACATTCCACTGTGTTATTTTATACCCCTATTCTCAAGCTATCATAAGAATCACCTATCCTCAAGCTCTCATGAGGATCGCTAAGTTCCGAAGAGAAGATACACCCGTATCATGGGTCCCCTTTTAGGAACTTGAAGTCCCATTCAAGTTAGAACTTCAGCTGAGGAAACTCGCGAGCTCCTTCATCCTTTCTGTACCATCTGGCTTCGCTAAGTTCCGAAGAGAAGATACACCCGTATCATGGGTTCTTTTTAGGAACTTGAAATCCCATTCAAGTTAGAACTTCAGCTGAGTAAACTCACGAGCTCCTTCATCCTTTTTGTACCATCTGGCTTTGCTAGGAACCTGATATCAACGTACAACTGGAAACGATTCATTCGTTCCTCGCCTCATCGGAGTCGTCTTCCGCTCCAACATGCAACTCATTTTCGATGGCTCGTCATGAAGTCTAATGCACATCGAGACGAACTTCTTACTTGCATTCACTAGGCTCTTCGCTCGCGTCACCGTCGCCAAATTTATCTCCCTCAGAAGAGACGTCGAACGAAATATGAACTTTTCACCATCCTTGGTGAATGTGTACTTCTGAGCCCGCCTTTCGTAGATCGCGTATCTATCCTACAAGTATGGATTGCCCAGTATAACCTGACAAATATCCAATGGAACGACGTCGCATGTGACCTCGTTAATATATGACTCGTGGAGCGTAAATCTAAAAGTACATTGATCAACTACATTCAGTCCCGTCTCCTTCTGAATCCACCCTAATGGATAGGGTTTCGGATGCTTGACTGTCTTCAGACCCAGCTTTTGAACTAAGACCTCAGATATCAAATTCTTTTCGCTGCCTGAATCAACAATGGTATCAATCAAACTGATCTTCACTTGCAACTTCATCACAAAGAGCTGCTCTCGGGGGTCTTCGTTCTTTTTCATGGCCTGTTTTTCTGCCATAAGATTAAGACTACTGTTGGGCTCTGTCATCCCAGGAATTCCTTCGGACCCTGTGTTATCACGTATGTCTTTTTCTTCTCTTTCTTCTTCAACCCCTTTGGCTTCAGATGATGATACTTCTCCCAACATCGATCAGCGATATGTCATCTCTTTCTTCTTCAACCCCTTTGGCTTCAGATGATGATACTTCTCCCAACATCGATCAGCGATATGTCATGTCTTCTCGCAGTGACTACAAATCCTTCAGATGATGATACTTCTCCCAACATCGATCAGCGATATGTCATGTCTTCTCGCAGTGACTACAAATCCGTTCTGCTCTCCTTGGATCACCCTTCTCCTCCTTATGTTTGGAACCACTAGACTCATCTCCTGTCTGTTTTGCGTCTCCTTTTGTTTCGTTGCTCTTTTTTTGCTTGCCTTCGATGGCAATATCCTTCACGCTCGCCTTTGTAATAGATTCGATCGTGAATAGTTTCATCTCCTTCCGGATATAATCGCTCGATCCCGTCATATACTTCATAAACACAGAATATTCCTCTATCGTAATGTTGAGGACCATCGCCTGCTGCTGGAACTCCGTGGTGTATTCTTGAACGGCTTGATTGATTCTTTGACGTAAGCCGTACCACTTGTACTAACGCTCTTCGAGGAACCCTACCGGATAAAATTGCTTTCTAAGTAGTTTTTTGAACTTGTTTCACGACGCCGTCTTTTTCTCCTGCTTGTAATAAGATTTCCACCATGTCAATACATGTCCCAAAAGCTTTAAAGTCGCGAACACGAGCTTCTCCTGGGATGAATATCCGTAGAGTGTGAAATAGTCTTCATCCGCTCGATCCAATCATCAAGCCTCTCGATGTTGACACTTCCGTCATAAATAGGAATCTCCACTTTGAAGTCTATCTTTAAATTCTAGTAAGAACCCTTACCCCCTTGGTGTGAAACAGACTTAACAATACGGGCCTCCTCATCTAAATCAGAATCCTCGCCTTCTCCATCGGACTCCACAAGTTTCTTCTTGCCTTTTGAAGAAGATTCCTCCTTGTTTTCTTTGTCTTGGACAAGATTGACGAGTTGCACGAGGGTTGAACCCATTGTCTCCATCTGCTTCTCCAATGCATCTAGCCTTGCTGAACTGTCTCCTTCAGTCATCTTCTTCTTCCTTAATTTCTGGACTCCTTCCATTGAAATAAGGATCTCGCCTAGCTTCTTGTATTGCGATCGAGTCAGAACCATACACATGATGCCCCATCTATCGGATCTAAGCGTTCTGATACCAACTTGATACGAGTCGCCGTGCGAGCACCTTTGATCGCAGAATTATCAAAAGTGGGTTGAGGAGGATGACAGAAACACAAGAATAATTCAGTATGTGGCGAAGGAAAATTCCCTTTCTAGATTATGAGTATGAAAAGATTACAATCACTCTCTTACAATCTCACTAGAATCGAGAACAAACTCTCAATTCTCTTTAAACCCTAATCTCTCTTGATTAGAATCTCTCTTTGATTACATCTGATTGATTAGAAACCCTAAACAATCCCTTATATAGGTGTAACAACGTGGATGACAAAGTGATAAATAACCAAGCCCAAACCCAACAGAAATTCGTGCAAACAGAAACCCAAATGAATCAGGAAACCTTCGATGAGTCGACTTACGACTGAGATGAGTCGACTCATCCGAAACTAGACAAAACACAAAACCAGCAATGAGTCGACTCATGACTGAGATGAGTCGACTCGTCAGAGACTAGTGACAAACGGCTGAGTTTCGTGAGTCGACTCATGACAAGCATGAGTCGACTCAACCTGATGAGTCGACTCATGTACATGTTTGAGTCGACTCACGGGCTAAAAACTGGGTGCTTCGATTCTTCGATTCGCCGTTTCGTTCCTCACTTCAACCTGCGTTCCACTGTGTTGTTTTACACCCCTATTCTCAAGCTACCATGAGAATCACCTATTCTCAAGCTCCCATGAGGATCGTTAAGTTCCGAAGAGAAGATACACCCGTATCATTTAAAGTCAATGTGATTAGACTTTTTCATATGGAAATAAATTGCTTCAGTCCTCTTTACATTTGAAAGAGCGGCAACCGTATAAGTTTCTTTATTAATCAGGTTCCCTAATCTTTTGTTGTTCGAGTTCAGTGCTATGCCATTTTAAGTATTTACCTCCTAAAGTGCATAAGTGATAGTGTTTCCTTTTGCTCCTTTTGTGTTGTCCTGTTGTCCCTCTATGAAAGCTAGTTGTTATAGTGACTTATCTTCTCCAACCTTGGTCGGTCCTCGATTGCATGAGATTATGTAGCTTATCTACATGACCAATGAGGAAGTTCGCTGTACTCATCCAGGATTCGCGTCCTCACTGTAGGCCCTTAACCGTGGTAGAGTGGCATTGAAAGAAATAAAAATAAAAATTGTAGCTGATAGCTAATGCAACTTCAAGTCATGCTTCACCTTATTCTAATGATGAAACAGTTTGGATGACGATAGCAATGACAATGATAGTATATTCCGAACGCAAGGGAGCTTCGAAACTTGTCGTTTTCATTTGTTACAGGTAAATGGTAGCACTTACAAACATAGCATAGGGAGATTTGTACTTTTCTCCTTTAAACCATGTTCTTGTTGTTGTGCGCGGCGGAAGCTTTCTAGGGCAACACGAACAATAACTCGAACTAAAACCACAAACAATATGCAAACCATAATCACAGCAAGAACACACAATTTACGTGGTTCGGCAAGTTGCCTACGTCCACGGGGCAAGGAGGGAGGAGTTCTTTCTACTAGAAATCAAAAGAATACAAATAGGGTTACAAATCT